CCCCCCCCCCCCCCCCGCCACCCCCAGCTGTGGCCCGCCCTCAGGGCCCAGCCTTTCCCACAGAGCAGGTGGCTTCTGGAAACACTTACTGGGATTTCCCGCTCATACCCATCTCCGTCAATCAGGGGGATTAATGAGAGGCCTACACTGATGTTTCAATACAATTTTAATGCCTCCTTGTGCACTTCGGCTGCTGGCAGCATCCTGCGTGTGCTTGGGAGATAGCTCCTTCACTGCTGTGCTGCCCACCCCAGGGGGCACTGCACACAAGACGAGCTGGGGCCCCCAGAGTTGCGGTCTTTGGGGCCCTGGTCCCCCACCCAGCACTTAGCACATGCCCAGTTGCTGCACTGAACGGAACCACGAACATCTGGCTGCCCCTCTGGGAGTTCCCAACATGGAAGGGGCCTCTGACCACTCAGATGTTCACCCATGTGGCCAAAAGACCTTTGCTCAGCAAGCTCCGTACTAGGCCCCGTGGGGGTCCCCAAATAAGGAGAGGAGTTTGTGCCTTCTAGAACTTCCCAGCTCTGGGACGCCTGGGGGGGCTCGGTTGGTGAAGCATCCGACTCTTGGTTTTGGCTTAGGTCTTGATCTCACAGTTTGTAAGTTCGAACCCTGCATCGGGTTCTGTGCTGATGGTGTGGAGCCTTGGGATTCCCTCTCTCTGCCCTTTCCCCACTTGCGTGCACTCTCTCTCAAAATAAATATACTTCAAAAAGAGCTTCCCAGCTCCTTCCCTCTTCTAGAGTGCTTCCTGAGCTGGGGAGCTGGGGTGGGGGGGGAGGGTGGAGCCCACTTCTCAAGGGTTCCGCTAGACCACCTAGTGCCGGCCTCACCCACATGCCGGAGGCAGGCCCTGCCACCGGCGCTAAGCCAGTCCTCTGCCATCCTTCCTGCATCTGGGCGCCATCCCTGTGACCACGTCACACTTCTGAAATAATTCAGGTGACTGTCGTGTGTGCTCCCAGAGTACACGACGGACTTCAGAAGACCTTGCCGTTCCTCAGTGACACACCGAGAAGGCGCAGAGCATAGCTTTCAATTGGCCCCTGCCTTGCCCGTGCCCGCCCCCCGAAACCTTCTTCCCGTCTCCTGGCCCAACGAGAATGAACACAGAGAGACCAGGAGTCACCTCAAAAAGGCAGCTTACTTTATTCTCCCAATGCCAATGGGGGGGCAGGGGCAGGCAGCCTGTGTGCCTCCGGTCGGAGGCTCTTTGAGCCGGGATGGCCCCGAGGTCTGGGCCGGGTCCACACTTGGGGAGCGTCTTCTCCCCAGGCAACCCGGCTGGCCGGCCCGTCCCTCTTGGGTGCGGCCGCTCCCTAAGGTCAGCACGGGTCTTGTCACTGAGTTCTTCCACTGCTACTTCCATCCTGGCTCTCCCTCGGTCATCGGGGAAGGACGTGGGCTCCAGAGTGGGCCTCGCAGGCCGCATCGAAGGCTGCCTATCCCCACACCTCACGGCGGAGACCACCAAGAAAGCTGCTTCCCCTTCTTCCCCGACCCTTCCCTCCCCCTGCCCCAGCCCTCCCTCTCTTCCTTCCCCCCCCACCCACCTCCTTCCCAGCCATCACTGGGGGTTCCGCTTTGTCAGGCCGCCGGAAGGAGCCGCCAGCCCCCAGGGCAAGTCCACAAAACAGAAAAACAACAACCGGCAAGCACAGAAAGGGAGAAAAACCACAAAACTCAGGGGTGCCTCTGTCTACAAATAACCAAGTCTCCCGGCAGGGGGCGAGGCCGTGCTCAGCTTCACAGCCAGGCATTCTCTTGTGCTTAGGACAGTCCTCTTCGTCTCTCCTTTTCAGTCCTTTCCCGTCCCCAAGTACCCACGCCGAGAGCTCCGGAGAGGGGACTGCGTGTGCCTGCGCTCGCGTTAGGCACACGTGGCCGGCACACAGCGGAAAGGGTGTCCCCCGTGCCAGCTGGCGACGTGGCCGCTGTGCTTGGAGAGCAGGAAGTAGCCGGTGGAGAGAGGCATCCCTTCTCCTCGGGGACTTCTCTCTGGCAACAAGGTCCTGTGCACACACACAAAGACAGGTGCACACACGCCGTGCGTACACACAGACACACACTAGATTCTAAGGGAGAGCAGGGGACAGGGTCTTGGGAGGCTCCCTGGACCTGGGGGGGGGAGGGGGGCAGAAGGCCTGCCCCGGAGCACAGCGGGGCTCAGACAGTGGTGACGGAGAGCAGAGGGTTGTAGACCCGCTTGCCGTCGGCGGAGCGAGTGCCGTGGGCCAGCATCTCCTGGATGGTGATCCAGTTGTCCAGGATCTTCTTGTTCCGCTTCTTCATGGTTTTGCGGTGGCTCAAGGCAATGATGTTGAGCTCGGCCTTGCTGTCGCCGTTCTGCTGCTCCCGCAGGCACTCCAGCCGGCTCTGCATCATGAACTCGCGCCGCTTCCGCTGCTCCCGGGCCCGGATCAGGTGCTGCTTCCGCTCCTCCTTGCTCCAGTAGCGGCCCATCTTCATCTCGCTCACCGCATCGTCGTCGGTGGTCATGCCGCTGCGCTCCTCCCGGATCTTCAGGGCCCGGGCTTTGAGGAGGCGATCGCGCACCGGCCGCTTGGCCACATAGCGGGTCCCATCGCTGCGCACCTTGACCTTCCACTCCATGCGGGGGGCTTCGGTGGCCGCCGCTGCCCCGCCCACCCGGGGGCCGCCGGCCAGAGTGAGGGGCCCGTGGCCCAGCTCTTCCAGGCCGCGCGGCGGGGCCAGCTGCACACAGCTGTGGTAGTGCTCGCTCTCTTGGCCCTGGCCGCGGTGGCGCCGCGAGAGGTAAGGGCTGCCTTCAGGGCCCACGCGCTCCAGGGTCACGCCCAGCTTGGGGCTCCGGCGGACTCGCTCCTCCGAGTGCGGTCTCCGGCCCAGCTCGGGATCCCGGGAGAGAGATCGGAACTTGGCGGGGCTCCCCTGCGGAGGGGCTGCCTTGGGGTGGGTGGGGCCGGCGGGGCCGGGAGGGGTCCGGTTCAAGTTGGAGTTGCCGGCGGCGGCGGCGGCCCGCCGCAGGGGGCTCTCCGGCAGGGGCTCTGCGAGCAGCGGGGTGCTGCGGCAGCTCTCCCCGGTGTTGTAGGCGCTGGTGCTGTCCTTGTCCGACTTCTCTGGCAGCTCGGAGATGTCCGACAGCTCGTGCTTCTTGGGCTCGCCGGCCCCCAGGTCGTAGAGACCCTCCTCCTCCAGCAGCCAGGCCTTCATGCAGCGCTCGCGCAGCTGCTGCATCTTCTGCGCCCGCAGGATGTTGCGGCACTTGAACTCCAGGTGTCGCAGCTCCTCCTCCAGCATGGCCATCTCGTGGCCCAAGCTCTCGTTGCGGTTCACATCCAGGGCGCTGTTGCCGCCGCCAGACGCCCTGGGGAAGAGGAGGCCCAGCTGGTTGCCGTTCTCCAGGTGGCCCTTGATCTCCAGCAGCTCGCGGTAGCGCTCGTACTCCTCCTCCGTGAGGCCCGGGAGGTCGCCCCCGCCCAGCGCCGCCCCCTCGGCCAGCAGGGAGTCCATGCTGAAGTGCAGGTCACGGCTCTTGCGCAGGGCCCCGGGGGTGTCGGCGGCGCTGGCGGGCTCGTCGCCCAGCAGGTCGTGCTCGGAGCTCTCCTCGGTGCGGGTGCTCTCGTCAGTGCGGCCCACCCCACTGTCCAGCTCCTGGCTGTTGCTCAGGCCCGTGCCCACATCGGGGACCCCTTTCTCCTCTTCGTTGCCAAGCTGGGGCAGAAAGACGAGCCCCACTCAGCGTGCGGCCCGTGGAGGCCAGAGGGTCAGAGGGTCGGAAGGGCCTTTGGGTCCAGCCCCCCCCGCCCCCCCCCCGGCCTCCCATCTGCCCTCCCTGCGACCCGCCTCCGGCCTCCTTCCTCACCTGCTGGGCAGCGGGGGGTTTCAGCTTCCGTGCGCGCAGCTCCCCCTCATGCTCAGAGCCAAAGTCATCCAGAAAGTCATCCCGGTCACTGTCCTTCCACCGCTTTGCCAGCTGCAGAGACAGGCCCGTGCTGTCCCCTCTGCTTTAAGGACCTCCCCAGACACCGCCCCCCACAGCGGCCTCTAGGCCTCACACCCGGCCTCCTGGTCTCAGTGAAGGTGAACACTCAGCCATCCGAGGCCGGAAGGGCAGATGCGCCCCAAAGACTACCCACCCTCCAGCGGGGCCGGGCCGCTGGCATATCTTCGCCCTTGTCACAGATCAGCAGCTTCCAAGGCAGAAACCCGATGCCAGGGGTCCCACAGTATCCCACCGGGCACACACACCTGGCTCTCAGGCCGGGCCACCAGCAGCGAGATGTTGGTGTTCTCCTCCTGGCTCAGAATGGCCACCGCCTCTTCCCGGTTCTGGACGTCCATGCCATTTATCTGTGACAAGCCAAGGGACCATCAACAAGAACGCCAGGGCTGGCTGTGGCACGGGCCCCGGCCGAACTGCACGGATGCCCTCGCAGGGAGCTCCAGGCAGAGCACCGTGAGCCAGGAAAGGCTCTGGAGCTCTGACAGGATGGAAACTGGCTGGAAGGTGCTCAGGACCAGGACAGCCCGGCCCGTGCAAGAGCACTTGTGCCCCGAGGACAATGTGGCGTGGGGCCGGGGGGGAGGGGGGTGCTCATGCCTGCAGGATGGATGGAGAGGCTGACTAGGTGCCACAGCGGCACAGGCCCTCCTCGACGCCAGCAGATCCCATGAGCACACGGGAGCCACCAGGGGCAGCAGTACAGGAGAGGGAGGAGACCCAGCTCTCTCCCTGGTTTCAGGCACAGCCGGAGAGAGCTGGGGCTGGCTATGGACCGGTAGCTGGGCGGCCAGGGCAGCGAGGCCTCGGTCAGGCCTGCCGGCCCTGCTCACCTGGATGATCCGGTCGCCCTCGCGGATCCGGCCGTCTTTGGCTGCAATGCTGTTGGGATTCACCTGCAAGGCAGATGCATCACAGTGGCCCGGCACGCTTCGCTAAGGTTCCCTTTGGGTAGCAAGGGGCAGCCTCACCTTGGGGACCCCCAAACCCCCAAAGCAAACTGAAGCCTCCTCCTTGCTTGCTCCATCTGCAGCTCAGACCAGAAACTTCCAAGCTCCAGGAGGCAGGAACAAAACTGGGTCTTGGGCTAGTCACCGCTCCCCAGCACGAGCCGCGAACTTGCCAGCCGAGAGCTTCCCAGCCCCTGGCCACCACCCCCAGGCCCAGGCCCATGCCCCCAGCTGGCACTCGTATACTCTTTTTGCATGGAAACCTGTCACTGGCTGGGTAAATGGCGGCAGCCGGACACTTTCCCTTGCATACATCCACACCAAAATATCAGCCCTGGGGCTTGGTGGACAGTCATACGGAGGCTGACTTGACCAGAGCGCTACCAGCACGTGGGGGGCAGCTGGGGAGCCATCCACCCTCCTGCGGACACACAGACATCTGCCACGGGCCGGTGGGGAAGAAGGATCCTGTGAGTACCGGGAGAGGCTGGCTGCAGGGCGTGGGAGGGGAACAAAGCCTGGCTGGGACTTCGGCCTCGCTCACTGTCCCCATCACTGTCCCCATCCCCCTCCTGGGGAGGGCTGCCGGGATGAACACACAGGGAAGCCATCAGCTGCCCTATGTGATGCTAAGCAGGCCCCATCCCCAGCGGTTGGCTCTTTATGCGCAGCCTCAGTGCCCTGGGCAGCAAGGACAGGCCACAGGGGTAGGTGCGGGGACTCTCCACGTGCCAGACCCTGCGTCAGCACCCGCCACCACGGTGCCTCCCCCCGCTGCTGGTGCCGTGCAGGTGGACACCATCAGAGTCTGGCCCTGATGTCCTGGCACACAGGGAGGAGGCGTGGGGCTCCACCGCCTCCTAGAACACTCTACTCCTGCGCCCCACCTTCGTACCTCTCCAACATAGATGCCCAGGTCCTCCTCATCGTCCGTGCGGTAGCAAACCATCAGGCCTAGCTTGTCTCGGTGGCTGGTCTTATACAGCTCCACCTCCTGCCACGCGGGGAATGGGGGGCGCGGGGGAAGGAAGCCCCCAGAACGCGTGAGCGCGGAGGCGTGCTGCACGGCCGGCAGCCGCAGCCCAGCCCCACAGCCCAGCCCCACCCCCAGCAGCGGCACATCACCTGAGCCAAGCTTCCAGCCTCCGACTCAGAGGGTCTCTCTTGCCATCCCCAGGGGCGCGAGTGTGCCACGGCCTACCCTACCGGGAAATGCCCAGACACACACAAGACACACGGGACGCACGGGACACGGACATGCGTGGGACACACACTCGCTGACACGGACTGGCTGAGGGACCTCTCCCGTGCCCTCCCCGACTCAGTCCAACCTGACCCAACCTGGCCCGTGAGCCTGAGTCACCAGTCGCGCGTGGGCAAGGGCCACAAGGCTCGGCCGCCTGCAGACAACAGGAGCCAGGCCTGAGCCGGGCTACAGACAGCCATCCCGGGGCTGGCCCCTGGAGCTGGCTGTGGGCCCTGTCCCGGCCTGGCCGCCTGGCTCACCTCATACTCCAGCTCGTCCATACGGTCTGCCTCCTGTGGGCCGCCCTCCGTGAACTCCGCTGGGTCATAATACTCATGGCTGATGGGGGGGCTGCCCAGGAGAAGGGGGGTCAGGCCAACCATCTGGTCTTCTCATGCCCTAGCCTCAGCCCCCAGGCTGGCCGGTCCCAGCGCGCTCAGCACGGAGCCCCTGCTTCTGAGCTACATACATGCATCCATGCAAAGGCCGGGAATGCTTCTTGGACAGGAGTGTGCAGGGGACTGCACTGAGGACACAGGCATGCCTACCTCTCCCCACCCCGCCCCACCCCGTCGCCCAGCCCCCACCGGCCGACAGGGTACCAACTTCTCCAAACTACAGGTGTCCCTCCCACCTGGCACTGGCCCCGCTCATGCAACGCCCCCAGGAGTTATCCAGGCCCCAGAGGACTGCTGGGGCGGGCAGGAGGGCCCGCTCTACCTCCAGGGGCAGCCCTCCTGGCCCCAAGGCTAAGCGTGGCTGCTGGAGGCCAGGGGCCTCGCTCTCGGCAGAGGAGGGGATCCCGGGACTACCTCCCTGCAGCCCGGGTTTCGATTAGCGGAGTGAGCCACGGGCCTGGACAAGAGGCCCTTCTTCTGAGCGGGCCAGAAAGAAGCCGAAGAGATGGATGGGACAGACCAGGATGGTGGAAGATTCAGAGAGGGAGGCTTGAGAGGCAGAAGACAATGGACGGCAGAGGGGGACAGAGGAGGAAGAAGGAAGGGCCGAGGCAGCAAAGTCCCCTGGCCCTGGGGTAGCTACCACAGGGAACCTGTATGTCAGCCTCCCCTGGTCCCTTCACCGGCTGCTGTCCAGCCTGAGGCTAGAAGCCTAGAAATTTCTGAGCCCGTGGATGCCACAGTCAGCTCTGGAGGCCAAGGAGCCTGCTTCCCGCCTGAGAGGACAGGCCAGTCGGGGTCTCCCTGCCGTGCCCAGAGCTGCGGCAAGGCAGCGTCTGGGTGGCGTGCCCTCTCTGGAGGCAGGGCCCGGGGCCCTCCTGAGGGCGACTCACAGCTCAGACAGGACGTACGGCTCCAGGATGACCATGGGCGGGGTGGGCGGGCGCAGCTTGCCCAGCGCCATGATATGCTCAAAGGTGATGTCGGTCTGAGTGCCACTGTCCACCAGCTGCAGGTCATGGCACGAGCTGTCCCCCCGGAGGCGGGGGCTGCGTCTCAGCACCTGGATCACTAGGGGCTCCTTGGAGGAGCGCAGGGCCTCCAGGGTTTGCTCCTGAGACAGCTTGGAGAGCTCCTTCCCGTTCACCTGCGGCAGAGACACGCCCCCGTGAGCACGCGGCGAGCCCCGCCCCGCTCTCCGCCACCTGCCACCGGTGGCGGGTGGGCTCTCCACCCTCATTCCCAAGTGAGCCCTCTTCGCCCTGCCCTACACGGTGCCGTCCGGGGCTCGGGGAGCCCCGGCGACCGTGCACTGGGTCTGGGGGCTCTGCCCTCGCCCTGGAACACGCCCCGGCCCTCCTCCAGCAGAAGCCACCCACTCATCCATCCTCCTCACTCCTTCGGGCAGTACTGAGGCCAGAGCTGGTGTCTAGAAGCTCATCTGACAGCAAGGCTGGAGGAAGACCTTGATTCCTCTCCCAACGGGAGTCAGTCAATAAATGGCCTCAGGCCGGAGGGCTGGAAAGAGCACGCAGACACGAAGGACAGGATCTGTGTCGTCAAGGCAATGACAGACTTGCTGAAGAGAGAAGGTGACACACAGAGCCTCCCTCCTGACACTGCAAGGCAACCTAAGGGAGGTGCCAAGGAAGCGATCCTTACAAGACCATCACCATTTCTCCGGTGCCTTGATGTGCGTCTCCCCCGGAATCCTGACCCCAACCACCATTTTGCAGATGAGGAAACTGAGGGAGCAGAAGGGAGGGAGTGAGTCGAGGTCATGAGCCAGACGGGGCTGTAGTGGTCAGAGCTGGGGGCGGTGTTCAAGGAGGCTGGGCTGCTGCAGCCTTCCAGGAAGAGACCCCCAGTGGTGGGCGGAGGGCGGAGTGCTCTCTGGGCCCCGCTGGGCGGAGCAAGGTGTGCCCTCAAGGCAACCGGGGGCAAAGGGCCGGCCCCAGCCTGGCCACTTGTTTCTGCTCGTTTCTGCAGCAGCCTGGGTGCGCTGGGCCCTGGCTGAGGCCCCAACAGACACGGACAGAGTTCAGGACACGTGCCACGAGGCCAGTGAGGGGCGGAGGGTGCGGATCGGGAAGCAGTTCCAGAAGGAGGGGAAATGGTGGCGGCAGCTCACGGAAGGGAGCACACGCACTAGTGGGGGTACTGCAAACGGCCACACCCAGCGGGTCGCCACTGAAGCAGACCTTTGCTACCAAGGAAGCACAGGGCCCGCCACACCCCATCTAGGAAGGGGGTAGGGAAGGCTCCCCGAGCAGGGGCACCTGGCCCGCATCAGGAGAAAGGAGAGGGGAGGCTGGTTTGCAAGGGGAAGTGAAGGCAGCACGGAGAGTGCAGGGCCCACGGACCCAGCACCCGTGCAAGGACAGAGGTTCAGCAAGAAGAGGGGGGAGGGGCCGCACTTGGGCACAGGTCCCAGTCTCCGAATTCCCACAGTGCCACCTCTGTCCCTGGGTGTCTCAGGGGGATGGGGTTCTTCACACAGATGCCCAACCCAACTGCAAAATCGTGTCTTCTGGCTGCCGCGTGACAGATCGAGCCCTGGCTGTCATTCCAAGGAGGAGGCCGTCTTAGGAAGCACAGGGAGTCCTAGGGCCCCCTGGCCAACCAGTGGCTCCTCTGAGCCATGGAGCCCAAATAATTACCTATCTGCTACTTGATTATGTCCTTGTAAATAATAATCTCAGTATTTAGGTCTCCCTCTCCCCAAACTCTCCATAGTCAGAAAAGATTTTTTTAATCAGTCGGGTCTAATCATCAAAGAAACACAGGTTCATTGCAGAGCATTCGAAAAACACAGAAAATCATAAAGAAGAAAACAAAAACCAGCCAAGAACGTATTGGTTTGCAACTAATGGTAAGTGTGTGAATGTGGCGGGTACAGCCCGAGAGGCTGCAGGGTCAAGGCTGAGCGCGCAGGGGAGAGGCCCGCTGCAGGTGTGCATTGGAAAGGCGAGGAAAGGGCCGTCTGGGAAAGCCTGTAGACACACGGATGGCAGGAACGGCCCTGGAGCCCTTAGCAGAGTTGACTGTGAAGCTGCCAGGAAATTTGCAAGCCCCTTGTTAAACACAGCCGTTATCGCCATTTTGATGAACTAATCTTACAACGGAATGAATTATATTACAAGCAAAGGCAGCCAGTACTCCAAGCTCACGACTGTCTAATGATCTTCCTACCCTTTCCCGTTTGCACTCTCAGGGTTCCTAATGTGTCGCGTGTCTGGAAAGAGGACATCCTATATAATGGCGCGGGACCTGCATCTCTTTCCGTGTTCAGCGACATCACGCTGGTGGCCGTGATGGGAGTACTTGCACCACAGAAATTAGCAACCGCTCCAAAGTGGGGCTTTTTGTTTCGGACGCTTCCCAGCGCCCCAGCGCCCTTAAGTCAAGTGCTTCCCTAAAATGCAACAGGGCTGGACTGTCCTCGGGATCTCCAAGGGGTAGGTGTCTCCCCGGAACTCCTGGAGCAGAGCCACAAGTGTGCAACAGGATGCTCAGGTGACACTGACAAATGCAGGAATGTCTTTCTCCCTGGAATCTGTTGGTTTTCCGGCTGCAGCGTTGCTATGGAAACTGGGCCCAGACAGTGGGGAGGGGAATGCGGGGTGGGCTGGGATGTCACGAGGAGGATGGGCGCCCTCAGAGATGGGTCATGAGTCATCAGAGTGACGCCTGGGCAGCCCAGCAGCCTTCCCTTTGACCCGCGTGTTCCTTCAGCCTCCTCTCTTTCCCCTTCCTCACGCAGGGTGGGCCCCCCAAGCCAATGAAGGTAAGCGGGGCAGAGAGACAGCCGGTGACAAGTAAGAAATGAGCCCCTCCCACAGGGGGTGAGAGCCACCGGCGGGCTACGGAAGTGTGGGGGATGGGCAGAGTATCTCGGGGGCAGGCACACAGTGAGGACCCAGTGTTAAGACCTCTTCTCGTCCTGCCTGCGAGCCCTGCCCTCATCCTGCCATCTCGAGTTAGAGAAAGTCGTGCACACCAGCCTCAACATTGTCCGAAACGAGGCCGGCTTGCCCTCAGATTCCCCTCCTCGGGTCACACGCAAACGTGCACACACGCCAGAGACTGTCCCCACGGAGACACCCGGGACCCACTCCCGCTCCTCCCCTGCTGCCCACACTCCAAGCCCCCGACAGGCGATCCAAAATGGATCAAAGTCCTAAATGGACAAAGCAAAATCGCCTACCTTGGAGGCGAGAGAACAATGTCAATGATGTTGCAACAGAGAAGCAATTCTTAAGATTACAAAACAGACAAGCAAGAATGGAAAAGACATAAATTTGAACAAAGGACATAAGCACGGTGACAAGAGAAGATCGGCTGTGAGAAGATCCTTACAAGCATAGAACCGATAAAGGACTATCCAGAGCGTTACACAGAAGATTTCCAACAAAACAATAAGAAAATACAAACAACTCAACAGGAAAACCAACACTCACGGAAGAGGGAGCCCGAAGCAAGCCATAAGCATTTGGGAAGATGCCCCTTCTGGCCGCTGGGGTGTCAGCAGCATCGTGTCACAATGGCCGATGCGGGGAAACAGCCCAAGGATGTGCCGTGGGTAGAATCGATCAAAGAATCGGGCTCGCTCATGCGCGTGGCGTATGGAAACACTTGTGCTCATTAAGGGTATCAGTAGGAGAAAACGGACATCAGGATGACAAAGCCAAATCCGCCCACAAGGGAAGGAATAGAATGGGGTCAGGGATGGGTGTGCGCAGGCGGCTTCGGACCTGCCTTTTTAGGGGAGAGACGCTGAGGCCAACAGGCCAAAAGCGAGGTCGGACGGCTGTATGCTTTTCTGTAGTTGAGAAAGATTTCAAAACGGTTGCGTGTGGAGGGGCAGCCGGGGGCAGGGAGGCCCGCTGGGCAGCTCGCGATGCCATCACCTACTTGGAGGGTGACACTGGGGGGCTTGGGCCTTTCGGGGCTGGGTGGCCTGACGGCTGTTACTGCGAATAGCCACAAAGCAGGAACAGAGAGCCGCTCCGGTTTGCCGACGGGCGACTGTGCCAGGCTGTGTTCAGAGTGCTCGCACAAGCGCGTCGAGTGGGAAGCAGAGGAAGCGGGGGGCCCAGCGCCGGGGCATCTCAGGCCACCGCGGAAGAAAGCCCGTCCTTTGTATACAAGCAGCGGTTGGGGTGGACGTAGGAGGTAGGTGCCCACGAGGGTGGCAGGGCTGAGGGCTGGGGGCATGTGAGCGTGGGTGGGTGGGAACGGGCATAGGGGTGCGGGTAGAGCGTGCGTGAGGGTGGCCTTTGCGGGTGGGGAGTGGGAGTGGGTGGCGCGTGTGGGTGGGCGCTAGGGCTCGGTGGTAGGGGGGCGGGTTTTGACCCTGTGTTGAATCCCCTTCTCCTTCCAGAGGGTCTCCTCCTCCCCCCCCCCCCCCCCCCCCCCCCCCCCCCCCCCCGCCACGTCCCTGCTTAAGCTGGGTGAGCCTCTATCATTCGGTCTCCTCCGTCCCCTGCCTCACACATCCTTCTTTCCTCCCCCCCGTAGCCGCTCATCACTGCCTGGCTCCCTCCTGTCACCCACACCCACGCAAGGACAGGTGCCAGGTGCATCCATCCCTGGCCGAAGAGTCACACCCGCTGGCAAGCAGACACATGCTGAGGGCGCCACGAAAGGCCCAACGAACACCCCGGGACAAAGAGGCGACCCAGCATGTGGACATGGCCTGACAGGCCTGCGATTCGACTCCCCACGGGCAGGCGAGACGTCCTCATCCACAGCTCGGAGGGGAAGCCGGGCCCCTAGGGGCCCCACCCGAGCCTCCGAGGTGGCCCTCAGCTCTGCCTCTACGTCTGTCTCTCTCTCCCACCAGGCCAGGGAGCCTTCTATCCAGAGGGAATCCACAATTACGATCACACCGGCGATGC